CCCTCCCATCTGCCAGCATTGGGTGCTGACGGGGCTCTCTGGGGTGTCCTGTAGGTACATGTTCCACGGGGGGACAAACTTTGCCTACTGGAGTGGTGAGTAGGGCCCTGCCCGGGGGAGGAGGGGCACACTGCAGGGCTTTCCTTGGCTGTCCCCAGGCAGCCTGCTTCAGGCTCCTGTCCCATGGGGCAGGCTAACACATACCCAAGGGCCCCTGAACCCAATCTTATCCCCCTTCTGGGAACTCCTTTTGTCCCCAGGCAGGGGCTCCCAGTTCTGTGTCATGCCCTCCCATTGCATTGCAGCTAGCCTGGGGCTGGGTTTCATGCCCTGGGCTCTGCCAGAGCCCCTTCCTCCAGCTCCCATTGCTTCCCCGGCCAGGTGCTGACTTCAAGGACCAGTACAAACCAGTGACCACCAGCTATGACTATGATGCCCCCCTCTCGGAGGCAGGAGACCCCACTGAGAAACTGTTTGCCATCCGCACGGTCATCAGCAAGGTGCTGAGCCTGGCAGGAGGCGGGGGACAGCACTGGGCACTGCTGTCTGGGCCAGGGAAGAGGGGGACGCAGAGGGACCTGGCAGGACAGGGGACGTTCCCTCTTTGCTCCGGAGGGCAGCTGACAGTTTGCTGTTCAGTTCCAGCCCCTGCCAGTTGGTCCGATGCCACCTGCCACCCCCAAGTACGCCTATGGCTGGGTGGCCCTGCGGAAGGTGAGTGCCTGTCCCGACGGCTGTGCTGCCCCTGCCTGGCACTGCCCGGCTGCCCTGTGTCCGTCCCTCTCTTTGCAGTATGCCAACCTCCTGGATGCCTTGGATGTACTGTGCCCCTCTGGGCCCATCCAGAGCCAGTTCCCCCTCACCTTTGAGGCCATAAAGCAGGTGAGAGGCTGGGTGCAGTGGGGGACACTGGGGGAGATGCTCCCAGGCTTGTCTGCTCTGCCCTGGCTCCAGGGTGGAGGAGCAGAGCTTGTCTCCAGCCCCATTTCCCTCTCCATGCCACTCGTCTGTGTCCTGCAGGCCCATGGCTTTGTGGTGTACCGCACACAGCTGCCCCGGGACGTCCTGCACCCAGCCACCCTGCGTGCTCCTCCCCACAGCGTCTGCGACCGCGGCTATGTGATGCTGCAGCAGGTGAGCTGGGAGCACACCCATCCCTGGCCCAGCGCTTGAGAGGGCTGTGGGACCTGCTGGCAGTGGGGCCGTGCCATTCCAGGGTCTTGGGGGACAGCCAGGGTGCTGAGAGCCACACTGAGCCCTGGTGGGGTAGCTGTTTTGGCCCAAGTTTGTCCTTTCTGGGGGCAGAGGGCAGCCCTGGGCCAGCTCTGGGGGGACAGGTAGTGGGATACTATGCTGGCAGGCTGCTGGCAGCGTTCAGGGCAGTGGGATCTGGGCATGGTGCAGCAGCACTGACCCTGTGGCTGCAGGAGTACCAGGGGACACTGGAGCGGGATGGGCAGACAATGCTGCGTGTGACAGGCAGGGCAGGGGACACCCTGGATGTGCTCCTGGAGAACATGGGCAGGATCAGCTTCGGGGCCAACATCAGTGACTTCAAGGTGAGAGGAGGGTGCTCTGGGGATTTGGAGGGAATGGCCTGACCGCCTGTGTGGCCAAACACCCCCTCTCCTGCCATGGCAGGGCCACCCCACAGCTGCTCCCTGGTTCATTTCACACCACCCCCTGGCAAACCTGGCAGGACCAGGATAAGGCTGTGAGATCGCACCCCTCTCTCCCACTTATGCTGCCACGCCAGCCAGGGCAGCGCAGCCCCTTGCAGGGAATCCCATCCCACCTTCACTGCTGCGAGGGGACGTGCCCTGGGGAAATCAAGCATCCTTGTGCTGGTGGCAGACCCTGCTGCCTCATTTTCCCTCATGTTCCATCTCAGGGCTTGCTGGGGAACCTCTCCTTGGACTCCAGCCCTCTCAGCAACTGGCTGATCTACCCCCTGGCCATAGACACTGCCATCCAGCAGGGCTGGCCCCATGCTGCCCTGCCGAAATCAAGCAGCGGGGGCAGAGCAGGGCCAGCCTTCTACACTGGGACCTTTGAGACCCCTGGCATCGCCTGGGACACCTTTGTGAAGTTCCCAGGCTGGAGCAAGGTAAGGCAATGCACAGCCAGGAGAGGGGGTGAGGGTGGAGTGGAATGCAGCTCAGTCCTGTCTCCATCTTCCAGGGCCAGCTGTGGATAAACGGCTTCAACCTGGGCCGGTACTGGCCCCGCCGTGGGCCCCAGCAGACCCTCTTTGTGCCCGGCTCGATGCTGCGTGTTGGTCACCCCAACAACATCACAGTGCTGGAGCTGGAGGGGGCACCCCTCGCCCCCTTCCTGCTCTTCCTCAACCAACCTCTTTTCAACAAGACCCTCAGCCGCAGCACCGTGGCCACAGAATAAATGCAAGGCTGCTGGGCACTGGCATCCCTTGTGCTGGGGCTGCGGAGATGGCAGGGGGCTGGTGAAGAACAGGGGACAGCAGAGGGGCTGCAGGGCTCTAGGAAAGGGTCACACGTCCTGGTATGGACAACCAGAGCTCCTGCCCTCCTCTGGGGCCAGGCAGGGTCTGGGCTAAAGAAAAAGAGGCTCAGAATTGAACTTGTTTTGCATGTTAAATCCAAAGAGTTCCAGTGCTCATGCTGACGCCCCCCCCCGGGGGTCAAGGCACCTCTTTATTGACAATGCAGGCAGAGGAGGTAGTTGCTAACACAATATGTCTGAGACGCCGATGGCGTCCTAGAGAAAAGAGGGCAAAGCACAGCCCAGAGGATGCCCACAGGCACAGCTGCAGGCAGCTCAGGGCTGCAGGGTCTGGATATGTCAGGCAGCAAGCCTACAAGGAAGCTATGACAAAAGGCAGCAGCACGACACCCCAGCTGGAGCTGGGCCACAGAACAGTCCTGGCCTCTTAGATGAGTACCTAGGGACATCCTGGTTGTAATGTCCCCAGTCACCACCCACAGTGACGTTCTTGCCCTGAGCCTTGCCAGAGTTGCCCCCTGGAGTGACAGGGCCAGCTCTGTCCCTCTGAGCAGTGCTGCTCCACAGGCTCTCCCTCACTGCACAGCCAGTGCTGAGCTGTGTCTCCACCACATCGGTCCTTGGCAGGTGGCAGCAGTCCCCAGCCTTACGTGTGGCTGG